ACTTTAAAGTAGAGACACTACATACTGATATACACCTGAACATCAGCAGGAGAGGACTCTTTAAAGTAGAGACACTACATACTGATATACACCTGAACATCAGCAGGAGATGACACTTTAAAGTAGAGACACTACATACTGATATACACATGAACATCAGCAGGAGAGGACTCTTTAAAGTAGAGACACTACATACTGATATACACCTGAACATGAGCAGGAGAGGACTCTTTAAAGTAGAGTCACTACATACTGATATACACCTGAACCTCAGCAGGAGAGGACTCTTTAAAGTAGAGACACTACATACTGATATACACCTAAACCTCAGCAGGAGAGGACTCTTTAAAGTAGAGACACTACATACTGATATACACCTGAACATCAGCAGCAGAGGACTCTTTAAAGTAGAGTCACTACATACTGATATACACCTAAACCTCAGCAGGAGAGGACTCTTTAAAGTAGAGACACTACATACTGATATACACCTGAACATCAGCAGGAGAGGACTCTTTAAAGTAGAGACACTACATACTGATATACACCTGAACATCAGCAGGAGAGGACTCTTTAAAGTAGAGACACTACATACTGATAAACACCTGAACATCAGCAGGAGAGGACTCTTTAAAGTAGAGACACTACATACTGATACACAGTGAAGAACAGTAAACCCTGCAGAATTAGCTCATACAGGAGGAGATATCAATCAAAACACAGACACGTTCTGCAGTCAAAAAACATTGATCCAGAACAGTCGATTAATTGACTCACGTCACATCAATGCAGACGAAATATCAATAAAGCAAACCCCAATCAATGCAACACCAGTTCAGTTACAGCTGGGCGTCAATACAGTAGGTTTTATGCAGATCCTACATAGAGTAGATCTGACATAGCTAAGATCATCCCTTTTGATATCTTCACAGCAGAATCTATGCAAAGGGAGGATTTTGATTGATTTGCATATTTTTCCCAGTTGTTTTATTATTTTAATCTTATTAAAATGTTTTTTTTTTAAATATTCTGTTGCTTTTTTATTCATTTTGTATATTTTTTTAAATGACAATTGTTCACAAATGTTCTGCATTTTCATTTCTATATTTGTATACTTCAAATATGTTTTTTCCATATCCATGTCCTGTGTGCACCTCAGTTCCCACCAATCAGCAGGTGTAAAATGTTAATGACTGTTTCCATGACTACAGTCACACAGCGGTGACCTTCACCCGCTCGGGTTAATGATTCAGAGACCTGACCAATCAGTGAGTCAGATCCCAGGAGAGCAATCTGTCCCTGAGAGAGTGAAAGGTGCAATAAACACAAATCAGTGTGAGCTGACAGGAACAAAAGAGACACCTGTGACTTTGACATCTTGTTCATTTCTCTCAAATGTTGTCCTCCTGGTTTGACTATTTTTTAAAGCATAATAGTAACTAATCACCAAATCTATGTTTCACCTTTTTAAATGTAAAGCAACTCTATTCCTACTTATTACCACAAGTTTTACGCTACTTTTTGAAAATGTATGATCAATAGACCTCATCTACACAAAATCCAACCTAATTTCTGAGTTAAAAAAAGAAAAATATTTACTACATTGCCCCCAGAATACCAGATGCAGTACATTTGAATACAACCCAAACCCTAATGAAAGTGATCATCATTTGTTCTCATGGAAAACGTTGTATACAGTACAAGCAGCCATAAAAACAAACTTTTATCCCAACATAAAAACATGTACAAAGTTAAAGTAATAACCCTTAAAAACTAAAACTGTAAATCTTGACGAGGATATCTGTCTAATATCTATTCAGAATATGTCTTTACACTCGATATAAGACCTGATAACTTAAGAAGTGACGATGCAGTGAGATATAAGGTCTTGTTTTCAGACATCTTGTGAAGTCAAAGATTCTTAAAAACATATTTTTTCAAGTTGTATCTCAGATGAGTTTACATTTATATTGTAAAAACACAGACTAATGAATCATCAGAAAGCAGAACACTATTGAGTATTACTGGCTTACTTCTTAACACAACATCTCCTGATCCTGGTCAAATGAAGCTCTTCCAGGAAGACTGGTATACATTCAGTCCGCAGCTGCTTATAATCAGCTCATCACGGGCGTGGTCTTTAACCTATTACATTCACCTCATTCTCCAGCAGCCAATCAGCGAGCTGCAGCCAAACTTTAAAATGGTTCTCCTCTCCCCTGCAGTCAGCTGTGATTTCAGGTGTTCATGCTGCCGCCCGCCTCCTCCCCTTCCACCTCCTTTCATCACATCCAGTGCCAGGAGAGCTAATCCAAAGACCTCATCACACCCCCTCTTCATCCCATCTCCTCATCAAACCCAGATCTTCAGCATCACCACCAGTGTCTAGACCCCGGGGGTGCTCACGGCTGCATTTCCCCCTTTTAGATATACCATTTCAGGATCGGGGTCTAATCGCCAAAGACTTAACATTTATCATATGGCATGCGTCAATAAATGTTCTTTAAACAAAATGAAGTCTCTCCTGATTGAAATACAGTTCAAAATAAATGTTCCCAGATAATTACAAGATGTTATTTATTTATATTTCACACCTTATTTCAGGAAGTCTTACCAAGCAAATGTTCACTTGTTCTACTGGCAGATCTGTTTGACTTATTACAAGAGAGAACACCTTGTTTTCATTATTACTTGTTTTTGGAGCAGCATTTTTTCCAGTCAGGGAACCAAGAAAAAGGTTTTCTTTCCTGTTTTTGGTGATTTCGTGCCGATTCAGGGTTAAATAAAACATCTTGCAATTTAGACTTGTTGTAATTTAAATGTTACTGTATGTCCACAGTAGAGGACATGAGGACTAGTGTGAAGAGACAGCCACTAAAACAATTGTTTTCTGCGTAGCTGCTTTCAAAATAAAGTCTGACTGGTTTCGGTTCAGATGAGAAGTTTCAAAATAAACCTGTTATTGACCACAGATGCCCAAACTATGCTGCAACTCAACAACAACAACAACAACAACAACAACACACAACAACAACAACACACTAAGATGTCTGTATCATTTAATCACATATCACAACAATTTATAGGAAAATACTATGATAATAATATAAAGGTTTTGTATTTTTGTTGTCTGCCATACTCTCTGTATGTTTGTTATGTAATATGAACACACACACACACACACCTCCCAACACAGCTTCATCCTCCTCCTCTTCCTCTCACCCTCTTCTGTAACAGTCATGTCACAGACTGCATCTCAGATCAGCGGGGAATATTACATTTCAGCTATTTATAAACTCTGTGCATGAGAGATGAGAGATAATAAGCACACACACACACACACTCAGGCAGAAACACACACTAACACACTTTACTTTTCCGATCAATAGCTGCTTCTGTTCTGAGCAAAGAACTGGATATTTGTGGTGTGTGTGTGTGTGTGTGTGTGTGTGTGTGTGTGTGTGTGTGTGTGTGTGTGTGTGTGTGTGTGTGTGTGTGTGTGTGTGTGTGTGTGGTGTGTGTGTGGTCTAGCATTACTATACTTGTGGGGACCTAAATCTGTTTACATAGTCACGTGCGGGGACTGGCTTCCCTTATGGGGACAAATTGGAGGTCCCCATAAGAGGAATCATTAATTTTAGGGTGAAGACTTGGTTAGGTTTAGGTTTAGGTTTAGGATTAGGGTTAGGGTTAGGGTAAGGTTAAGGGTAAGGGTTAGGGTTAGGGTTAGGCGTGTGTTGGTTATGGTTAAGGTTAGGATAAGTCTCCAGGAAATGCATGTAAGTCAATGTAATGTCCCCTGAAGTGATGTATACATGGTATGTGTGTGTGTGTGTGTGTGTGTGTGTGTGTGTGTGTGTGTGTGTGTGTGTGTGTGTGTGTGTGTGTGTGTGTGTGTGTGTGTGTGGTGTGTGTGTGTGTGTGTGTGTGTGTGTGTGTGTTGTGTGTGTGTGTGTGTGTGTGTGTGTGTGTGTGGTGTGAGAGATCATTTTTCATTGCTTTGCATTAATGTCATCACTCATCACATTATTTCCTGTTGTTGTTTACAAGCTTGTGTACACAACTGCAATTATTTGTATTTTATTTCACAGTTGGTACTGTTCCTAATGTTTTAATAAACTTACTCCCAATAATTTGTATTTTTTCTACTATTTATTGATGTATTATATACATTTTCACGTAATTATTGTATTTATTACTTATTAAAGTACTTCTATATTTTATGTACATTTAATTTGGACATTTATGATTATTTTCTATACACTGTATTGTATATGTTCTGGTTCTGTCATTTTGTAATTAATGAATTAACTTAGTATATTATTATTTTTTATTTGACCGATAACATTATTTATACATGTATCTATTTTTATTTTTATATTTTCTGGTACAGTGTAAACGTTATTTGTCATTCTTAATACTAAAACATATATACGATGTATTTTATTAATTTGTATATAGTTGTATTCCTAATTGATTATTTCAATTATTTAATGTAAATCTTCAAATAAATAAATGTTATTTTTAATTCATATATCGTATTTATAGGCCTAAAACATAATTGTATACCCATTTTCTGCATTGTATTACCTATATTTGTCTGCATCAAATATTTGTATCTTTACTAAGATATTATTAATTATTATTGTATTGGTTTTTTTTCTGATATAATAAATCCACATGTTCCTGTATCAGCCTCTTCATGCACTTCACATGTTGACAGGGTCTCCTTTGCACGCAGAAGCCCCTTAAATCCTGCTCCTGGTTTATTTCCCTAATATTCCTTTCGCTGATATTCCTGGTTTATTCCTGGTTTATTTGCACAGTTTATTCCAGCAGAAATCCCAGGATCGCCGTGTTTGTTTTTCCAGGTGAAGCTACAAATATTGACACAGAGCAGAAACATAAATGGTCTCTCGGGTTGGCTTTGAGGAAGGGGATAGAAACACTAGCAAAAACGCAGCTAATTATTAAACATAATTCTCCTTTAATCCACTCACCGATTCTCCTGTCAGCAGCAGTGGAGAAGCAGCTCAAGGAAACGAGGAAGAGAAGGCGGAGGAAGGAAAAAGGCTCCATGTCTCCTCTGGGTTTTTGTATTCTCTCAAGGTGTTTAAAAGGCCATTTTATTTTCTCTCTCCTCCACCGAGGTTTGGTTGGTTTTCCGGCCGCCTCAGAGTGTCTGCTCGGCGGATAGAGGAGCAGAGGAGAGCCCGGGATGGATGGATGTTGGAGGAGAGGAGAGAGGAGGCAGGGCGTTTCTGCTTCAGGAGAATCAGACCCAACTGCGTCAAGGCAGGTTTGGTTGGATAAGGTACTTCCGGTGAAGGTTTTCAAAATAAAAGTCTGGAAAATTGAGTTGTTGCATTTTCCAAAATTAAAATAAATTAAGATAAAATAGACAAGATGGATCTTTATTAAACCCCGTGGGGACATTCAGTAGTTTAACAGCAACAGGGTAAGAAGAATGAAAAACAGGACAGCACAGATTCACTCCGATTAATAAAATCAAAGATAACAATTAAAAATGATAAAATAACTATAAAATAATAAATGAATTAAAATGAACATATATACATATTAGATATATTTACATGTGTGTGTGAAAACAGTGATTACTGATGAATCACACGAATAAATGCACTGTTTAAGGAAAGATTCATCTCACATCTTGAAAATAGAAACACAATTTATTACAAACTCAACCTGTTAGCTTTTCATTTGTATGTGTTTCATTTCCTTCTTCAAACTGTCCTTTATGCATTCAACACATTGAGACTTAGACACAAATAACAGACCTTTAGAATCAAATATTTACAATGAAAGAAGCTCTGGTGCTTTCTCTCTCTCGTGCTTTACAAGAGAAACAACAACATACAAATACATCAATAACGATGTACAACAAATATTTAGAGCAAAGTTTATATTTCCATGCAGAGAAATATGAGTTGAGGTTAACATAAATGCTCCTGAGCAGTGACAGCCTCCATGGCTAAACAGACACAGGAAGGAGCGCCGCCTAAAGAAACTCCAACATCTACAGAACAACTCATGAGAAGATGTTAAAGCACATCCCATAATGTTTGATTGACAGCTGGTCTCTGTGCAGTGAAGACATGAACAATCAGCTCTCAGCAACAATGATGGACACAATGAGTTTAAGAAGTAGAAGAGTTCCTCAAATGACTTCAGGCTATTTCAGTTTACACAACTCAGCTGTGGTTCCACCATAAACCAAAACTCCAGCATGTAGCGGCTGAGTGAATGTGGTCTGGACTCTTTGGAGGAGAGTCATGGTTTCAGAGATGTTGTAGAAGGACAGAATACCTGCTCTGTGATCCAGGTACACTCCTACTCTGGAGGACCGAGGACCTGAGACGGGTGTGTTGATACTGTTGTAACAAAATGTATAACTGTTTTTCTCGTAAATTAACGCCCAGGATTTGTCATTGTATCCAAATAAACATTCATACCCATCCCCTGCTCTGCAGATATTCTTGTATGAGACTAATACATAAACTGCTCTCCCTGTACACTCCACCTCCCAGTAACAACGTCCAGTCAGACTCTCTCTACTCAGGACCTGAGGCCATGCAGTGAATCTGTCTGGGTGACTAGAATAAGACTGTTGTTGTTCCATGACTAAACCCCAAAGATAATAACAGCTCTGTGTTTGCTGTGTTTGGATCCAGAGTGACCTCCTGTGAATATGTTAAGAACCCAGCTCTGGTGGTGGGCTCTGCTGCTGGCAGTAAAACATCCACTTCAGTCGGTGAGGCGTTTGTCCATTCCTCTCTCAGGACGTCCTGTAGTTTGTCTCTGACTGCTGACAGGGCCGCGGTCAAGTCCTCAAAGTAGCTCAGAGGACGGATGTTGATGCTGGAGGAGTGTGTAGCTTCACTGAGGGCTGGCAGTGAGGGGTAGCTGAGCAGAAACTGGTTGTGATCCTCTGTGTGAGACAGCAGCTTCAGCTCAGCGTCTCTCCTCTTCAGCTCAGAGATCTCCTGCTCCAGCTTCTTCTGAAGCTCTTTGACTCGACTCACTTCACTCTTCTGCTGGGATCTGACCTGTTGCTTCACATCAGAGCTTCTTCTCTGCATGAGACGGATCAGCTCAGTGAACGTCTTCTCACTGTCCTCCACTGCTTTATCAGCAGAGCCATTGACGGCCTCCACCTCCTGCTGAAGCAGCTTCACCTCCTTCTCTCTGTCTCTCTGTTTATCTAATAATAAAATAATACAATTCAATAACGTGCTTTAACCACCAGGTGTCCCTTTATATCAGCTCTGCACCTTTATGGTGTAAATACAGCCTATCTATGAATTGGATCAAATATAAAAGTCAGCCGAATTAGTGTTGATACTGCAAGGAGACGTATTGTGTGAAAAGAAATGTAAGATGTTGTTTAATTGCTGATATATTTATGATCCACGTCACGTTTTCAGTTTTTGCGGCAGTTCTTCCTGTTTGTCTAGAAGTCTTCTCATCACGGCTCTATAAATAGAGAACTACAGCAGATATGTAATATTTAATGCAGCCGAACCGTGTATTACAATGCCGTTATGTGATGACTGTGCTGTAAACTCATGGTTTTGTGTTGGGTGTATGAGGGTTAAATGAATGGGGTTCAGTTTATGTGAGTGTGACTTTAAATCTGGGTGGAGATTCGCGGGGTTTATTGATGTGTTATAAATAGAGGGGAACATAAATGAACGTCATTGAGATTGAGGAATCAGGAGAGGCCACTAGTAAATGTGATTATTTGGAGAGGGGTCCGAGTCCGACCCTTGTCAATTAACTACAGGGGTCCCTCAGGGCTCTGTTCTTGGTCCCCTCCTCTTCTCCTTGTACACAAACTCGCTCGGATCAGTCATTAGCCCGCATGGTTTTTCATACCACTGCTACGCTGACGACACCCAATTAATTCTGTCCTTTCCCCGCTCAGAGACCCAGGTCGTCGCACGCATCTCTGCTTGTCTAGCTGACATCTCTCAGTGGATGTCTGCTCATCACCTCAAGCTCAACCTTGACAAGACTGAACTGCTTTTCCTTCCGGGAAAAGATTGTCCCACTCTTGACCTAACAATCAACATCGACACCTCTATTGTTTCCCCGACTCAGACTGCAAGGAATCTGGGTGTGACCCTAGATAACAACCTGTCCTTCCTTGCAAACATCGCTGCTACAACCCGCTGCTGCAGATACACGCTTTACAACATCAGGAAGATACGTCCCCAGCTGACCCAGAAAGCGACGCAGGTTCTGGTCCAGGCTCTCGTCATCTCACGCCTAGACTACTGCAACTCCCTCCTGGCTGGTCTACCTGCATGTGCCATCCGACCTCTGCAGCTCATCCAGAATGCAGCGGCTCGTCTGGTCTTCAACCTTCCTAAATTCTCCCACACCACTCCGCTCCTCCGCTCCCTTCACTGGCTTCCGGTAACTGCTAGAATCCACTTCAAGACACTGGTACTTGCTTACCATGCTGCGAATGGATCTGGCCCTTCCTACATCCAGGACATGGTTAAACCGTACACCCCAGCGCGTGCACTACGCTCTGCATCAGCCAAACGGCTCGCTGCACCCTCGCTGCGAAGGGGACCCAAGTTCCCATCAGCAAAAACACGTGGGTTTGCTATCCTGGCTCCAAAATGGTGGAATGAGCTCCCCATTGACATCAGGACGGCAGATAGCTTACACTTCTTCCGGCGCAGACTGAAAACTCATCTCTTTCGACTCCACCTCGAGCGATATAACTATTAACAGAGCACTTATATACTAATAAAGGACTGGCTTATCTAAAGCCAGTTGAGTAGCACTTGAAATGTTTTGGCTCTATGAAACCTGATGTACTTATATGATTCTGTTTTCTTCAAGTTTGTATTTTGTTGGTCGAACGCACTTATTGTAAGTCGCTTTGGATAAAAGCGTCAGCTAAATGCAATGTAATTATTGTACTGAATGTGATTTAATGTGTATGGGATATGTGTGATCCTAATTGTTGTATTGTTGTTGTCCTTTTTCTTCTAAGGTTAACAACCTATTTAGATTTGATTAAATCATCAAAACTAGTTGTTGTTTCCGTCCATCTTGATTCCACCCATACTGTCGGGAGATAGACAGTACAATGACTTTCAAAGAGAAAAGCAAGCACACTCGGAATAAAGTATTATTTTATTTAAAAAAAACGTTTTCAGATTTCACATCACATAAACACCAAATCCCAGCATGCATTGCGGCTAAACCATCCAATCATCGAGCTGAGGATCTTGCCTACGTCAGTTTCCGGTTTCGTTTATCACCAATGTATTTTGTTATACACACATTCCTTCACATTTACATTTAAATTTGCATTAAAGTATTTCGTTAAGCCTTCTAACATGTTTTTAAATATAACTAGGGTTCTAGTTGAAGAGTTTGTAAATTAACATGAACCGAAGCTGTTGCCTGGCAACTCAATGCACAACGTCACGTCCGTTAATTCCACATTCACACGCATGGATTAACCTCGATTTAATACATTAATGTAGCCTTTGTTTCTGCTAAAGGAGATGTCGACGAGCTGGGGCAACAAGAAAATGGGCGAAATCGAGTGTGACTATAACAAAATAAATCATTATTATATTAATATTGACAATAACAACCGACCGTGTGACAAACTAAAGAAAAAAGAACATTTTTTAGACCTTGTTTCTAATTTTAGGAGATGTCAATTAATTCCAATTTTCTCAATTTTAAAAGCCGTTATTTGCGAATTTATTTGTAATTATTTGATATTTTTCAGAAGATTTTGTCGTCATCTTACTCCAATGTTCTGTATTTTTCAAAGCCATTATTTTCCATAAATAAAGCTTATTTTTCGCATATTTTTGACAATTTTACAAAAAGGGGAATTTTTTTTGTGTTGCAGATTATTTCTCTTAGTTTGGGTACCAATGTGCATTTTTTAAATGTCACTATTTGTACTTTTTTGTGTATTAAAAAGTTGTTTTAAATAAAAAAAATGCAATCAGAAGTATTTTTATTAATGTGAAAAGTGGTGCAAACATATATTTGTAGTAGGAATATTTTTGGTGTAAATTTAGAGTGTAAACTGTTAATGTGTACATTTTGTTTATGTCATTTTTCCCCAATCGTATCAGTTTTTAAAGCCACTTTCATTAGATTTCTTCTGTAATTTAAACATCACGAACACTGTCTTTATTCACTGGTTTATTCCTATATATACAGTCTATGGTTTATTCCTGTATTTTCAAAATAAAAGATTTTCAAACAAGCAATAACAATGACCTTA